AGCCTGTAATTGTGATGGGACCGGAAATTAAGTATTATTCCAGCATAGGACTTCTTTCTGAACAATTTCTGTTTGAGCTTCCAATTAGAGCGAATCACTTCAATGCCAGCAAATTCAATGGCTACAGGTAGTTTGGAAATCAACCAATTTGGTATAAAATAATGTCATTTACCGAACCGGCAAAAAACAAGTCATAGTAGACTTGGAGAGGCTACTCGCCTAGTGCAACCCCATTCGAATTTTGTCCGTGATATTGATGAGACCCAGACGATATCAAGATTGTAGTTTAATTCACTTAAAAAAGACATATGAAAGGGATGGCAACATGTTATCGTGTGAAATCAGATCTTACCGCACCTTAAGCAATTTGTCGTAACCTCAACATAAGAATTGCTAAAATTCCTGTATTTTAGGGATCTCTAGAGGCGTAAGCAACTTTCCTATGCCCATATCGAAAGGGGTTTTCTCCATAAGTAACTTCGAGCCAGAAGGCGCTAAAAGTTGGTCCTTATCCATCTTAAAAATCACTGACATCAGTCCACCCTAAGAGTTTAAGATATTTGCCATATGGTTGATAACAGTTAAGAACAATCTGGTCTGATTAATTCGCTCTTGACCTGATAATTGCTTTTCTCCATTCAACGAAGTTTCCAAGGTCCTATTAGAGTATTCAAGAGTATTTAGGTCTAAATTCGCACATTAAATAAACACGCTATAAGCGTAGCAGTAGTGATATAAAATAATCCAAATAACTGTTTGATCAAGTTTGCAGCCCAAAGCACACAAATACTTAAATTATCCATTAATTTGATGAATAGCTCAATTCTACTACAAATTATTCACCCATTCATATGAAATCTGATTAAAACGCAGTTAATTTGTTTGGCATCATGTCATTCGTCACCTATCGTCATCTAACTTTATGTTTGATAGTCTAAAAGATATCGCTATATAAATGTTCGTCCTCACTAAAAGCTCATACTATTAAAAGTATTAAAAGATGGTCTGGCTATGCTCTAGTGCAGCGCATTAACAGATTTCTCTTTACATTTTCATATTGACAAAGCGATGGCTTATAAGCTATCACTCGGGTAAAACTTGCGTCAGTAAGGTAGCGGAGTTATGAAGATCTATCCTGGCAACTACAACACGGTTACAACCATTGGGGGGAGAGGCAAAAAAGGCGTCTTAAACCTCGGCGTACTTTCAGCACCTGCCTTGTCAACATACATTTCACTTGGAACCAACACCAGCTCCGAAACACACACAGACTGCACTGACAGGCAAAGCGACAAGGTGGTGGAAATGAACTATGAATGTGTAAGCAGCCTTCCAGGTGACGATGCGATTCTCGTGGTAGGGAGACAAAATTCAGCAATACCGACTGTACACATAAGCCATGGCGATGGGACACCTGCACAAACTTGTGAGTTTCAAACAAAACGAGATGCCCAAGCTGCGGGGAGGCATTGGGAATGTCGTCCTAACGCGATTTCAACACCCTTTTTATCATAGTGTGTATGCGCTATTCCCAATGCACTGTACATCCTTAGTTGTATGAATACTAAGACGAGGGATAGATAATGTTAGAAGAACAACTCTACTTTTTGGCAGCCGAAGCTTGCTGTGAAGCGCCTTGTTGTCACTTTGCTAGAGCGATGTAGATGATAAGACTTTGTCAAAACCGATTGTACATACACTGTTGACAGCAGAAGAGCGTTGCTCCAGTTCTATTTTTTTAAGGCTCAGCATCTGTTTCCGGAAAATTTACTGCGAGTAGACGGTAACTTCACTCCTCGCATGAAGTTTATGGTTGGAGTCGAAGCTAGCGTCTTGACGGAATTCCATCCTAGAGGGCCTTTTGATCGTTTGAAGATGTTATACAATAGGCTCACTAATTCATCCAGGCAAAACAGTAAAAGAGAAACTGGGTTTCGATGAATCTCCTGAGACAACATTGTTGGGGGAAATTTCATCCTAAGCGAGTTTGAGTGAAGGAATGAGACCCAGCTCTGATGATGTCCATCACATGATGGACGACAGCTCAGCCCGTCTTCACTCAAAAAGAGGGAGGAGGTCTCGTGGAAAGCGTCAACCTGAACGTCGTATAAAAGCCAAACAGCTGCAGTACAACGGGATTCATCCGTCCTCTTCTGGTGAGATCGACCTACGAATCTCTTCTTCATGCACTTTCATACGAAATGAAAGTCACCCAACAAAACAATGTAAAGAAATGCAGACAGTCTTCGACACTTTAAATGTTTCGATTGCCAAACTCTTCAAGGATACAAGTGAAAGAAGATCAAAGCAGTACATACAAGTTGACTAGCTCTTACAAGTAAGCCAGTATGGATATGTCGAAACTTTCACTAATTCTTGAATAAGAACTTAGTCGTCTTAGGTCGTTTAAGATGAATTAAGAACTTATTGTGGAGTCTTTACCCCATTAATATAAATAGGTCTCACGAAAATAAATATTAGAAAAACGGGAAATGCATAAAACATATTTCATGAGGCAGTCTCCAACATGGGGATTTAAAGAGGGGCTGCCCAAAATGAGAAGACCCTACAAGCGAGGGGAAAAAAACCAGTTAATGATTTACAATGAAGAGGCGATTAAAGATAAAATGATAAAAGCTATAATCACATTATTCGTTCAAGAAGATGAAGGACCTGTAGTTGAATTCGCTTACAATTATATAAATATGCCTCATGTTTCCATTGGATTTCACATGGCCTTGTTTCCCAAGAGATATCCTTATCCAAACAGAACCTGATTGCAGTTTAGATCTCGCCTGGATCTCATCAACACCCCCATTGGGACTCAAACACGGGCAATGCAGCACAGAGTCCCGACACGTTAACCCCTACGACAAACTACCATGAGCGACCTTGGGTCATAGGGCACAGGATTGATTGTTATAGCATTATACCACGTATTTATTTTTCGTGTATAAATAGGATTTTGGGATTACCAGTAGAAATAATATAAGAGCTTTATTCACCATATTTAGTTTAAGGTTATACAGGATTGTAGCTGAATTCTTCCATAATGGTATGACTATAAAAGGAAAAATTGTAATGTAGATGGTAAAGGCCCAGGCTTTCTTGAAATTAACTCATGCCCTGTAGCCCAAGGGTATTCTTGGCATTGTGGCGTAGTCGTTAATGTGTAAAAGTTATACCCTGCACTACCACTAGTCGGTTTCGAATCCCGTTAAGGGTGTTGATGAGAGCTATATGAGGTCGAAACTTGTAGGAAGCAAGGCATGGCAAAATTTTATGGAAAAGTCAAGCATACTCATAAGATTGTGGTAAAATTCAACTACCAATCTTTTATTACCTTAAACTTTATAGGGCGAATACAGCTCCTATATTATATCTACTGGTAGTCTTGAAACCTACATATTAACTGAAAGAACAACATATTAAGGTCGGAGACATGAAACAAAACAATCTAAGGCATAAACAACTTACTTAGATAGATGGTAGACACAGAGCGAATATTTTATCTAATCTTGGCAACGGTTCTTGAACGTGAACAGAACTCGAAAACATCCTCCGACACTGTCTTGAGAGCATTATGAAAATGATACATAGGTTGAATCAAAAGAATAACTTGATACAGAACAATTTTATTGTAATCCCAATAAAATGCCGTTTTTACTTTTTGTCTTGTATGATGATAATTCCTTGTAACAAAATAACTTGTTCAGTCCCACAAAGCTTTGTTATAACGAGACGTGACCTATAGTATGACTAACCCAGATCCAGTGACCCACATTGGCGCTTTATGAAACGCATAATAGGATATATGAGAGAAAGCGAGCTAAATTGGTTCACCAGGATGACTTCTACTTCGAGTGAAAGCGTCTGTGGTGAAGAGGTTAGAAGATCAACCACACTCGAAAATGAGTGCAGCTCCCTCATGATCAGCAGATATTTGGTATTACTGGAATTCTGAATGACTTTATAAAAATATTGGGAGAGTGCTAAGAGAATGACATGTGAGTACGGAGGGAGAGAGGCTCTGTTGGAAAATTACCTGCATCTTTATTGTCCAGTTGAGGTTTGTTGGCAATGGTACGTTGAGTTCTAAATAGTCCCTGAGACACCCTTTTTCGGCCCCGGGGAACTTATGCCAAGTCATACAGCAGACCTCATCCGAGATGGGTGTCATTAATACACATGCTTTAAGGTAATGAGTGAATAAAATTTGAGCTAAAGACAAGGGAACCCATAGTAGCTGTTAGGTTAAACGATCCAATGCAGCCGGACACAAGGGAGAAACTGGACAAAGAATAATCATAGAATAGTCAGTGAATGGTCTAAACCTTATTGTTCTGCCGATCAGGGCATGTCCTCTTTCGAGCGCGAAATAAGGGAGGCCATTGACATTAACAGATTAGTAAATATAGCGAATATCTAGAATACAGGTAAGAACTACCTACACTTAATGGATGGTATTAAGGATAGAAAAGTTGTTTAGTTGTCCAGAAGAAATAAGCAACTCTACTGGACTTTCTGTTAATTTCCTGATTGAAAACACACTTTCCATACATATTCGTTCACATAAAACAGCTTAACTATTTAACTAGCCGTTATGAACGAGGGTTATTAAATCTTGATCGCAGACGAGAGCTGGCAAGTTTAGTTCTTGTTACTTGGAAATATGAATGTTAGATTTGTCGCTTTATGCTTAAATGAATTCAAATACATGCACACAAGTTTGCATGGGCATATGTTTCTAGATTGACATATGATTTGGACTAACAATGACCCTACACTAAAAGAAGTTATTGCGTTGGAGCCCATATACAAGATATAGCTGTAAGCTGAATTAGTTGTACAAATGGTAGCAAGGTCTAGTGCTGCTTTTCATATGACATGCTGTCTAAGAATGATTATCTTGAACACTAGACATGGCCGGACTAGAAGTGCTCGGTCTGCGTTGAATTTGGTATAATTGCCATAAGTCTGGCCAGCTATCGTGCATCATGTCAAATGGACACAGAACGCAGATGCAAGAGATGCTAATGGAGAGAAGAAATGTGTTATTTCATCAACTGCTCCACAATGTGGGCTATCCTTTAAGCGTTATCCTATAGGGACCCTTGATTCTCAACCATCAGTATTAAGTGTTGAATCTGTGCCAGGCAGTTTAACCATCACAAAAATGGACGTATTGTGTAGCATGTAGACAGGGCAGGATGGCAATAACGAGAATCCGGTGTGTCTAAAATGCGAGGTCTCCTTCAGAGCTATACTATCACTGAAGGTAGCAGTGCGGCTCCATTTGGGAGAAAAATCGTCGGAAATGACAAAATTCAATCTTCACCATCATCAAAATCATCAACATCATTGTCCTCATTACCATCGCAAGCAGCATTAGCATCGTCGTCATCATTATCACTATGAATCCACGTAGACTTCTAATGTAGTATGTGGATATTCAAGCCGGAATGAAGTTGGGTAGGTAGTAAGAGTTA